GAGGGTCTCTCAGCTTTTATCTAAAATATTTTTATTTTTCTCTCATCCTTGAAAGATATTTTCACTGAGTATAAAATTCTAGCTTGGCATTCACTTTGTTTTACAAAACAGTAAGTATCAAACAACTGTCTTCGGGTTTCCATGATTGCTCCTGATAAGGGAGCTTTCGGTCTGTCATTCATCTGAATGTAATCTGTTCATTTTATGTACCTGCTTGAAGGTGGTCTGTGTCCTTGGCATGCGTGGTTTCGCTATAGTTCGTCTGGTGTGAATTCTTTGTTCTTTAATGTACCCTGCTTGTGAGAGTCACTGAAATTCGTAAATCTCAAGATCAGTGTCTTTTATCAATTCTGGTAAATTCTCAGATGTTATTTCATCAGATATTGATTATGTCCCAGTCTCTTTCTCTTTCTTTTTCTAGGAATTCTGATTAGATTTATTTGAGATCTTCTCAGTCTAGCCTTTAAGTGATCTTTCCTTCATCTCCTTCATAGTTCTTCATCTCTCCTCCATCGGCATTGCATTCTGAGTACTTTCTTCTCTATCTTTCAGTTCACTGATTCTTTCTTCGGAGGTGTCTAACCTGTGCGTGTGTGTGTGTGTGTGTGTGTGTGTGTGTGTGTGTGTGTATACTTCAATTGCTTCATTTGTTTGTTTAGAGAATTCTACTTGGCTCTCTTTCAAACCTGCTGCATCATTTTGAATATTTTCTATTGTCTGTACATTTTAAAGCATGCCTTTTACTTCTTTAAACATAGTAAGTATAGTTGTTTTAAAAATCTGTGTCTGATACTTCTAATATCTGAAGTATCTGCAGATTTGTTTCTGCTGGTTCCTTATTTCCTTGTGTAGTTTAAAAAATTTTTATTGTAAGCTGCTCATTTTCCTCTCCTTAAAAAATTGGTTTTGGGAACACGTGGAGACCCAGGACGAGAGACTCCTCTAGAGAGGACTCACGTTTGTTACTGCAACAAGCAGTTTCCAGCTAGGGACCACTTGACGCTGTAAGTTGAGGGGTTTGTATCTACCCAGTTGTTTGAATTTGTGTGCAAATACATGGAAAGTTACACCTTCTCAAGAATTCTTTTGTTGTTCTCTCAACACTGAGGTGAGTCTGCTTGCGTCTCCCTGACACTGAGGACGATGGCGCTGACTTCTTGTGGTTCATCCTCACTCTGAGAGTGTGGCCTTTATTGTCCCAGCCTAATGATCTATGAACTGCATGGGACACCCTACCTGGGCAGGCCCAGGCTTTAATTTCTGTTCCCCACAGTCTGAGGGCTGAACGCCAAGGCCCACTGTCCCCAGGTTGGGCAGATCCCCTGGGGCAAAGGAAGCTTCCTGCCTGCTTTCTCCAGGTTCCCCTGTTCACTCAAATTTTTACCTGATAATTCCTTATTATTTTGTCAGTTTTTTGTTACATTTAAGGAGGATTTTTTGTGCATTTTATTCACAATTTTTAGTTTTAATCGGCAGAGAGTTTGCTTACAATAATTTAGCCTGCCATAGTACCACAAATGGAGAAGTCTTGTTTGATTTCTCCTCCCTCCCTCTCTGTGAAACTCTTTAATCCCGCTCTAATTTACACTGGTGTCTGGTGAGGGATGAGCACATAAAATTCTTGTTTCTCTTCTACTGCTGAACAATTATCTCAACACCATACACTGAAAATCAATTCTTGATTGTGACATTTAATTTTCACATAATACATTCATATAAATAATTTGTTTCCTGTGTCTTTCTGATCCACTAATCTCATTCTTTAATCTTGGATGGTTTTGTATTTCTTTCTGATTACTCAGTCTTTACTCTTAAATCTCAAAGCACTAAGTTTCTTTGTCTTATTTTTTTTTTTCAGGTTTTTTTAGACTACTACTAAGTGCTAGTCTTCTAAATGAGCTTTAAAATCACTCCTCAACATTGTGAATATAATTCCTTTGGAACTGTTTTGAACTATATTAAATCTATAAATTGTTAGAAACAATTGGCATTTTATAAATCTCAGCCTTCCCATCCAAAATCAGGTTATGTCTGTTTATCACTACTTATTCAGAACAGAACTTCATTTACATTTTAATAGACTGCTGTAGCTGACTTTATTTGTGACACCACTTGTTAAAATCATTTTCATTATCAATTCATAAATTTTGTTCCTATCATGATTTGGAATCATGTTTTCATTACATTTTCTAATGTTATTTCTGATATGTTAGAATGCTCTTGCTTTTTAAATTTTCTAATCTCTAGTGGTATGTATGAATCCTCTTATTAATCATAGTTGATTTTAATAAACTTCTCTGTGCCTTCTATACATATATGATAGTATAATCTATGTTTTGTTTTTTTTTCTTTTTCAGTCCTTACACTGGCCAGAACTTCTAAAACAATATTTAATAATGTTAATGTTTTGCTTTCCTTTTTAATGGTAAGTCCATGCATGTTTAACAGAGAGACATATTAGCTGCTAGCATACTGAACATTCTAAGTTCACTGCAGCTTTTTATGTAGCACTTCATGCTCCGACCCTAAAAAGGAGCTGAAGAAGCCCTGTTCCAACATTCTGCACCCAGCAGCACCCAACAAGAAAAATCTATATGTTGCAACCAATGGTTTAGAAAAAACTATTTAAATTTTACATAAAAAGATGAAATAGGTTTTGTTGTTGTTGTTGTTGTTTGCTCTAGGAACTGAGGAAAATAGACACACAGTGAAAGTAACAAATCTAAACATTATAAAGTGTGTTGAGAATGATGAAAATGTGTGAGGGATAAAAACCTGAAAGTCTGTGCTACTAAGGAACATGGAGAGAGACTAACAGGCAAACCACTAGTGGAACGTTTATGTCTTTATAAACTTTTGAATTTTGCTAATAAACTTTATATGCACAACTTACCTTGCTCCTATGCAAATGTATAAGCCCACTGGTTATATCTCTGTTTCTAGATGAATGTTTCTTCAACTACAATCTGTGGATTATCTAAACAGAATCACCTGAGTAGACACTCTTGTTAAAATGCAGAATTCTCAGACCCCTTCACAAGCCAAATATTAATAAATCAAAATGAAGGGGGGAGGGCTAGAAAACTGCAATCTAATGAGGCTCCCTACGAGGCTCGTTATGCAAACTAAAATGTAAGAAAAGAGAGACAGAGAAAATAAGAAAGGTAGAGAGAGATACAAAGAAACAAAATCAGACAATAAGGAGGACAATTTTATGCATGCACTAAGGCATGAAAGGTATCATACATCAAACTGTAAACGCTGAATCTGATATTCCCATTAAAATATTATAATTAGACCAGAGACTTTTCAAAGAAATGAACACAAACATCTTATTAAATCACCTAACAAGTTATGTGTTCTACATTGTACAAAGCATTTCAAAGGGTATGAAAACCAAGTGAGGCAACACCTAACCCATCACATCTAATTATACTAATGAAATACTACCAGCATCTACTAGGCACATTTCTTATGTATTCTTTCTTAGTAATTCCTACATTATTTTTAACTGCAATAAATCAGAAAGTGGAGAAGCATCTTTGTTAGTCATGAAATCAAGGAAGGTTTGGGGGCACAGTTTTCTCAGATATCCACAGGAAGACTTTTGGGTAGACCTTGGGCCACACTGTGGCTTTTATAGAAACTGCCGTAGGAATGTCAGTTTGATCTTCCCTGTGAAGGCTCCCAGTATAAATATTAGAGGTCAGGTTGTCGATGCTATGTTTGAACGTCAAATATCTCTCCTCTTTTGTAGCTTCTATCTCATCAGCCCCAGCTGCTTCCAGTCATAATCTGCTTTTAAATGTGTCTCTGTTTAATGAACCACACCCTTACTTGTATCAGGTGATTTGTCCTTTAATTCCTGTGTGGTGACATAAAAACCTCAATACGAAAGCTTGAACTGTGGCCACACTCAGACACACAAAGCTGAGTATGAATTTTTTAAAAATGTTATCATATTGGCTATGAGTCTCGTATATTGTTTTGAAATGGCGGAAGGCAATTTAACTCATCTAAATTCAATGGAACATAGCAACACCTACTATGCACCAGGCATCGGCTCTGTGGATACCAAGACAAATGAGACACAGTTCCTGACTGGAGGAACTCACAATCCATAGACCATTCACTGTTTTTCCTTTTATCTGTCATTTCTAAAACAAACAAACAAACAAACAAAAAACAAAAAACAACAACAACAACAAAAACAGGAAAAGCTTGAGTGGAAGACCTCAGACTGCTCCAAGGTGAATATTCAAATGTATGGGAGCTTACACAATCAACACGCACTGCTTTTCAAAGTATTAATTAATGTTTGGAAGTGGATACCAAAGAGATCGCATCTGCTCAAAAGATTTTTGAAACTGCCCAGAGCCATCTTCTGATGAATAAGGAAGTAGCATCATTATTTCACAACCGCGGGATTCTCCTGTGCCTTCCTTCTTCTCCTCCTTCCTTTCCCCCTGATGTGCTCCAGCCAGTATGGTAACTCTTCTCTGCCACCCCAGCCACAGGTCTGAAGCCCAAGGGCCCCTATCCAGGGCTGTGCAGATGTGAAGTTTGGAAAAGTGCTCTGAGCTCAGCATGAGGCTGAGGGGAGATGTGGAGAAGAGCTGTGCATGGACCACATCAGAAAGGCAGGTTGGCTGGATGTCTATTTGACGAACTTTTATTTCTGCAGAGCACATCTGCTGTTTGATGCCAGCAATGGGCGGAATTGACGGAATGTGGTTCATGCAACTATCCAGGCAAACTGCAGCCAGCTGGGGACCAACTGAGTGCCCATGGCAGGTGCACACAGCGTCTGCCTTCAAGATGCTCTAAAGGGCTGCACCTGGCAGGCAGCTCAACGGCCCAGCGCACCAGGCATGGACCAAGATAAGGCACCTCTTCCCGTCCTAGCTCTCATGCCCACCTGGCTAGAGCCCACTGAGAGCCTGAGCCCTGCTGACTAGCAAGGCCCTCCTGCACCACGTTACACAACACAAAGATCTCACCACCGAATCTTTCATCTTCTTGGGGAGAGGGTCTGCAACCGACTCTTCCAGATTTTCATGTAAAAATTTAGGAAACAGTTTGCACTGAATAAAGGACCTGAAAGTGAAAAAACACACAGGTTTTACTTTATAAAAGGTGTGCCTGGGACAGTGTTTGAGGTAAACACTTCACCTTAGACCTGGCGTCCGCAAATGACAAAAGCAAGTGCATATTCAAGGGATCACAAAGATAATATTTTGATTTTTCAAATTTCATCCTAATGAAAATAGTCAAGTACCTCAGGGGTATTGGTGGCCCCTGCCATCAGCAGAGCAGGGGATCCTCTGTCCCTGCCAGCCCACGACAGCTTCATCTTCACAAAAATTTGCAGAAGTCAATATTCCAGTAACACGATTGACACTAAAAATTGTGTGAACCATGTTTAACTTTTCTCTTCCCCGTTTTTTTTACATGCTGTTCATCTTGCTGGACTTAACAGCCTAAAATTATGGTGTCTCTTGGCCCCCAAATAGCTACATTTATCTTAAGTCAAAATCTTTGATAAGTTTCGACAAATTCCATGAGATGCTGCTGTCAATGTTCTAAATTCACTTTGGCATGAAGGATTTCCAGTCCCAGAGTACCTACATATTACCAAAGACTTAAACGATGTGATTAAAGAGAAAACTGAATGTATACTTTCAAGTTACTAAAGATTATATCAAATACATTTTAAAACTTTGATGCAAACCTCACATTAAATCCAGAGGCCACTGGCTGTGTTGGGAAGGACAAAAGTGACAAAATAAAACAAAAGCCTTTCCTTTCAGAGGTGCCAGTTTAGTCTCCGCAGGGTAACTGCCTAGGATAAAGGCAGTGATACCACCTAATGGCCCAGCGAGGGTACCTGTTGAGGCTTTCGCTTCTCACACAACTCACCCAAGGGAAAGTCACGCAGGGCTTGGGTGCTATCAGCCCTCTGTTCCTGCCACTGTGTGTTTTACTCCGAAAGCACAAGCAAGCACAAAGGTGAAATGTTCCCTGGAAGTTCATCCTTGATTTTCATTAGTTTCTGGTCAGTCCTGCATTTATGCCACCCTTGTCCAGCAAGTGATTAGCTAGTTTAGTAACAAGAGTCACACTGCAATGAGCACTGAATGGCCGTCTCCTTGCCTCCATGAGAGGGCAAGGCTGTGGCAGCCGTGACCACAGCATGGTGGTGAAGGAGCATAGGCGTGCGTTACTCACATGAGCACAGATGGGTCACTGCTCTGCCGGCTCAGATGGTAAGAAAGTGCAACCAAGAGGCCACAGAAGGCTGAGAAAAGCGCCGGGATGTGTTGCATACTCCATGGTTCCTAAGGAAAAGACATCAGTTAGCCAAATCAGTCCACAGTTAGTGGTGTTCCTGTGACCATTCCTGCCCGTGGACATACAAGCATCTGATGAGCACACAAAAAACGTGTCTGCTCATGTATAAACACTGATTCTGACAAGGCACCGGGTTAGAAGAATTTCAAACTAATGGTACATATTTATGAGAATATATTTTACTTAGTCTTTCTTGAAATGAAGCTCGAGATTTTTATCAAATGTAATACTAAACATGTATCGCCTCTTCTTTATAATATTTAATATAATACTTAATAACAATTATAAGGATTATATTTCTTACTATTTATTCATCAAAGGTTTAAAGGTGTAAGAAATGTAAAAAAATGGCAAAAGAGATCAAATAGACCAGCAGACTGAAATGAAACTTGGTAAAGACTAAAGACGAAGACTAAAGACTTCTCTCCCTGAAGAAAGAGAAAAATGATTTGGAATGAAAAGCGCAAGACACTTCAGGTCTGATTTGATAGACACACAGATGCTAGTAATCAACACATTGTACTCGGCGTGGCGGAGCAGAACTTGGGAATTCGTGTTAGCGTCCTGAGCAGAGCGGTGGCCTGGGATTCCACTCCCCTTCCACAAACGTCTGCTGTTCCTGTCGATACAAACATGTCTTTCATATACAAGAAAAAAACCTATACATTTACCCTTTTCAATCACCATTGAAAGAACCACTGGTGCCTTCCAAAAGCTGAATTTAGTCAAGGACTTAAATCCCTTTCTTTCGAGATGTGTTTTATTTGAGAAGGATGAGTTGTTAATCGTGCTTAAAATCAAGCCTGCGAATGAATGAGTCAAATGTGCTCAGCAGTTATCCTTGTACCTGCTCAGGAAAGCTGGAAAAGTAAATGACATGCTAGGTAGAGCAGGTGATTTTATTTTTTCATCCTTCACTTTCCTGGAAATTAAAATGTTATTTCTTTTATCTTCTCCACTGTGAAGGTCTAGGAGCCTGGGACAGCAGTATCTGCAAGGCGAATTTAAGGGAGCCGACCCTCAGCTAGCCTCCGCCCAGCGACACCCTGCACGCCTCTCAGATCAGCTGCCCTGCGCATCTGGTGCAATAACTTTGGCAGCGCCCTCAGGCACCACGGCTGCTTCATTATTTTTCGGTTTCTGTGCAGATGTCTTCCTCAGCTATTTTGCTGAGAAGTTCCAGACCAGCGATAAAAGCATTCTCCACCGGCGTCTTGTCTCCCTCTGGAGTTTTCTTTAGCAAAATGTCTTCTCTTCCTGTGTCCAAGGAAGAGGTGCACTTCCCAGCCTCCTGAAGGTCTGAGCTCCATGGTTCACTGTGTCATCAGCCACTGGCTGCCACAGAAGTTGCAGGTACCCATCTGCTAAGTCAGGACGACCGAGCAGGTCTTCAGCATGTTTTCACTGAACTGACAGAGTAAATACAGTTCTTTCATTATGTTCCGCATGAAAACAACCTGCAATGAGGCTTGTTAGCTCTAACTCTAAGGCCACTAGTTACTTTATCCTCGTTAAAAAAGATATTCTGATGCAACCTAATAGCACAATCCCCTTCAACGTACAACTTGCACCACTGTCCCTGAGTAGCCTCTCATGTGTGTCCCCTCTATGCCACCAGGACACCTTGGGTGCCTCTCGCTGAGTCCCACTGTTTACTTGTCTGACACCCTGTCAGACAATGGATGCCCTGTCAAACAGTGGATAACAAAGGGCAGCCTTGCACCTCTTTTCTCCCTATACCTGGCACAAATGTTAGCACATTGGCATAGCCTTGAGAGAATGACTATAAGGTTTCAGCTTCCCTAATGACCTGCATGGACAAGAATTTTCAGCAAGAAAAGAAGAGAAAGGAATAGCTTACATCGAATGTGGATAGGCAGTGCACTGCTGAGGAAGTCATGAGATTATCAGAGAAAAGGCAACCCCTTGGCTCGGTGCTGCTCATTTTTCATTCAAACAGCACCCCAGTAACTTTCAGAAAAGTTATTCTGAAACCTGAGTTTCATGCTTCCCTGTTGGTCTATTCGCCCAACATTCATTCACTCCTATGATGTGCCAGGCACCCAGAAGCACAAGTGTGAGCAGGACAGACAAGGGGCTTGGGAAGGAAGGACACATGAGTGATTTCGGTCAGGTATGACAGGTGAGGTGACAATGAGCTGCTCTCAGAGCACACCTGGCAGCCACAGAGCAGGAAGCAGAGGCTCAAGTGCGTCAAGGGAATGGCATTCAAGTGGAGCTCTGCACAGAACAAACGCAGAACATGGTCCTTTCCCTGCAGAGGGCTCTGGAAGGGTCAAGCAGGTGAATGGGGCTGCCCTCTTCCATCCTCACGTCTACGCCACCCCGTGCCCTGTCCATCCACTTAGGGATTCTCTTCTTTCATTTCATAGGTGGCTGCCAAACAAATAAAAATACAAAAAAGAAAAACCTGCTAACTTCTATTTCCTTCCATCTATTCCTCTGCACTTGCCAATGATGTGTATTTAATTCACAATTTTATGAAGGCAAAGAATTTCCTCTCACATGCAGCCCATAAAAATGCAAACACTGGAGGAGATCACCATGAGAACGATTTAGCAACTATGACCATGGAAATAATTCTCAAGGCATGGAACAGAAAAATGTCGAGGGAACAAGCGTTGGCAGAAGTTGACTCCCAGGTTCACCTACTGCAGGAATGAACAGCTCTGTGGAAGGCACTTAACTTCTCAGTGGCTCAGCTTCTTTTCCTGTAAAAGGGGCATGCTGACACCTTTCTGAAAGTACTGCTGCAATGATTTAATGAGATTTGAAACAGCCTTGCACCCTGCAAAGTCGCACATCACTGTGACTTTTGTATTAATCAGAAGATACAGAGTACCCGTGATGGATGATCTTTGCAGACAATAAATTAAGTCTAGACTCAGAATATATTTAGGTAATTAAGTTTACCTACTTTTAGTCACCCAACAACCTTAACCTAATTCTGCTCTCATTTACTCTCTACTGTTTAATCAAACCTCTTCAACACAAACGCCAAAGGACAGTCACACTTCACCAGTCCTGAGGGACCCTCCCTATTGATATAGCATCACATAAAATAGTGGGAGGTAAAAATATCAAATCAGAAACAATGAAGTCAGAGAGGAGCCACGTTGTTCCCTTTCCTTCTGCTTCCCAGCGTTTATGTGAGCCTGTGACCATGCATATCAATATATGTGACAATGGATTGACGTCTGATTCCTCCACTGGGCTGAGCCCATCAACAGCAGGTATATGTCTGTCTCACCCCAGTGTATTCCCAACACCTCATGCACAGCCTGGGCCTCAAAATGTATTTAATAAATATGAATGGAACAAATGCACTGGATTTGAGCAGCTGTTTCAGGCTTACTATAGAATGCAGACCTAAGAAGTAAAAATGGAAGAGATGATTTTATTTAAGTATCTACAAGTACAGAGAAGGCTGGCCTTTCATAGTACAGAACAGTAGTTAGAAGCATGGGCTCTGGCATAGACTGCTGGCTTCAATCCCAAATCTGTTGACGGCATGGCCCAAGACACTGAAGCTATTAAGTCTCAGTTTCCTTATCCAAAAAAATTTAATAGTATTCTTCCCATAGGGTTGTTGTAAATATTATATGAATAACTGTGTGTAAAACGTTAGTATCATAGCTGGTGTAAAATGCTCAGTAAACATTTGCTGTTACTATGTGCTTTACTAGGCTACATCGGGGACTAAGGACTGCAGTAGAATCACATTTCCTGCATAAATTAGAATCAGTATTAAGTAGGGTCCTTCCCTAGGAGACAGAGGGAAGAACAATGATTTTTGCAGATTCCTTTTCTCTCTCCAATTCTACATCACAGGTAGAAAATAAAGAAACAGGAACTGTTTTACAAAATGTGAATTTGACCTTGCCAAGATGGGTTAGCATTACCCCACGGTGCACAATCTGAACTGACAGATCTTATTGAGGATAATTCTTATTGATTATTTTAAGCTGTTACACTACTCCTCCCGGTGTGTGTCCTATATTAGTAAAAGTCTATATTCATTCTTCCATTATGTATAATTTCTTTTAAGCATAACCAATAGCCTTGGGATAAATTGTGCAACAGGAGTGAATGTAGCCACAGGGGCAGGATAAAGTGACAAAGTTTTTTTTCAACAATACAAAAGCAGAGCTATGTCAGAATGGCATACTTATTCTTCCAAGAAAAGGGTGGCATGAAGGGTGGCAAGGAGTCCATATTCTAGGTGATGATTTGCATGTTTTCTAGCCCAACCTCAGACCTCCGATATTGCTCTTTCTTAGAAAGAACTGGGATTCCCTGAGTTTTGACAGATGGTAACAAGGCAGACCACCTGGATCTTCCGAGGCTCTCTCCTGGAAATACTCTCTCTCTCTCCAAGTTCTTAACTTGATTCACTTCTTCAAACTGATGCAGATGTATGCACGTGCATGGGTGACCACACACACAAATCTCAAATGGAAGACTGGTTTCTCAAGGAAGCAAGGACAGAAAAGACCAGTTGGATACCAACATGAGTTGCAGAGTGCCTTCATGTGCAGAGTGCCAACATTTTCAAAGCCATGCCATCTTCAAGAAAGATTACTTTAGTTTTGGAAGAGATCTCATACCTGAGCTAGTCTCACTCCCTCAAATTATTGACCAGGCAAGGAGACAGGGAGAATGGAAGAGACTTGCCCAACGTGGTAAGACAAGTACCAGGCTTCGCAGCCCCCAGTTCAGGGCTCCACATACCTTACCATCTTAAATATGTGTACAGCTAACTGTGAAAATTATGTAGACATCTCACCACTTCCCATTTTAAAAAGTATTGGTATGTTTTGAATAATCACTCTAACTTGCAAGTTCCCAGCTTTGCAGGCTGTTTTGTCCATGTATTCATCCCTCCACGCAACAGTGTGTGGACATCTATTCAGGTGTCTGCCTATTTCGGTGCTTCTTATAACACATGGGAGAGCAAAAGCCCAGG